AAGAAATAACTTAAGTCACCTCCTCGCTTTAGACAAGTTCTTGAATTATCGTAGTGTGTCGGGTGTTTTCAGATGTTTCTTGTCAACCGCAAGTCCTGCCACAGTTGCTCAGAGCCGACGTTCGGCGCTGAACTAATCTCACCGAAAGATAAGGCACTTTTTTGCTTTTGTTTTTTGTTTTTTGTTTTTGTCTTTATTGAAGGCACAAGAAGGCTCCTTGTGTCTTTTATTGAACATTTAAGAGACAACTCGTTGAGAACAAAATTAATCCCAACAAGAGATGTCCATCAGTGGTAAGACCCTTTGGTAAGAATAAACTGCTGCTCCGAAATGCGTGATACGTCATATCACTGGAGGTAAGTTTAATTTTTGGTGGTGAAAACTTTTCAACACGCGTTAGGTGCTTCATGATACAAAAAAGAAATTAAAACGAAACGAAATAAACATAGTTTTTTATTCCATTCTTTTGGCAAAATGTTCATCGCAGCCCTCCCACTCCGAACAGTGAAAAACAAATATTTTCCACATTTTTTTGCAAATCCACCCACCATGTTATTGACCTAAAGGTAAAAATCTATCCACAGAAACCTTACAGTGGTGGACAAGGGGACTTAGGTAGATGAATGACAACTGGCAGGAGTACTTAAGTTGTTGCCGTCCTTATTTGAAGTGTTTTTTCACTATATCTGAGTAGTTTCACGACTGGAATTAACCCTTTAACTCCTAAGAGTGACTAGCTTTCAATTCATCCTTACAATATCACCCGCACATCAGTCGTGATAGGTCTTGCGAAGAAAGAAAATGATCTCCAAGAGACAGTGTGGGGAATATTAATACTAATGTTAGGGCGTGAAAGTTAATAAATATTTCTTGATCAAAAAACGCCTTTGCCCTGCTCCTGCGCTTGGTAAAATCACTCAGATCAATGCTAATATTTACGGCTTCTGTATTCGTTTTATTGGCTTGGCTCTGACTGAAAAATGTTGTCGAAAATCTTAATGGGCCGTTGGACTAAATCGGCTGAAACTCTTCGTCAAAACGGGTTGCGCGTGCCGTTAGCGGCGAGGGACTTGGATGGAATCGTAACTCAAACAATAGTGTACAATTTTCTTCTTCGGACAAAGAAGCTTGCACTTATCTATTTAGTTCAGGCGTATAAGTTTTCTAGCGACGGGAACGGCTGACTTTCTGCTTCGCAAATTATATCGCGGCAAACGTTTCTTTAAATATTTTTTCGCAAAGTTCACAAATGGTCAAACGAGTTACCTGAAAAATTAAAAAAGGGGGTACGTTTCTAAAGAAACTGTGGTGCTGCGTTGGTGGGGGAGTATATCAGGGTAATTTAGTGTTATCAACTGAGTTGATAACGTAAATTGGCCATTGGTTTAGATGCGTCCTTTTAATTTCTTTATACGTCGTGAAGGTGTTCTCTAAATTGGTCAACCAGTTTTCTTCCTGTTTCACCAATGTATAACTTTTTACAATGAGTGCAAGTTATGCAGTAAATGATATTGGCGGAGGTGTGCCATAAGTGCCACTTGACCCAAGAGTTCCATTAAGATCACTTATCAGTGATCTTAATGGATCTCTTGGGTCCCGACGTAGAGAAAATGTCGGGACCCAAGAAATGACGAGGACGCATCCAAAACCACTCGCTAGTCTCCTTAATCTCCCTACTCATTCTAAGCAGACTTCATTAATGAATGAAAATCATAGAGTAATCGACAATTCCCGAATAAAATCGTTCAGAGGGTTGGCGCTAAGGCTCAAGATGGAAAAATGCGTTGAATCATGATTACAAAAACAACAATGGGCGTAATTTTCAATTTACAAAATTCAATTCTCATTCATTGACTTTGTCCTTACTGACAGGGAAAGTCTTTCAGGTAAATGGCCAAATCCGCCTGTGACAAATCTTCCAGTTGTCGATTTCGTTCTCAGCCGCGAGAAATTCCATTACCAAAGCCACTGAATAAGTAACTTTCGGTTTTTCTTTTCGTATTTTATTTTCTTTCCCTTCTAGCAAAGTTTGAACGTCACTGTCTGTAAGCGAAAGGGATTTTTCAGTGTTTTAGCAGCCTTAATCTGAGAAAATTCTGTCAAAACACCTTGGATTAAGAATGGTGAAGGCTTTGCCTTTCATTCGCCAACCGGACGGATTAGCGCGAGAGGCGAGTGACGTGTCAGCAGCTAATTGGCGATATCAAACCCGTGAAAAAATACTGTATTTTTAGGGAATCGTAGGCAATCCTTGTATAACGCCGAAGTTTAAATGATGAAATCTTTAAATTTGCGCAATCTGTAGGTTTTGGGTATCACTTAAAACTGACTCAGTTAAAGAAAGTAGAGGGGGACAGGGGGGTGGGAGCCCGGGAGAACAGGGGGTGGAAAGCGGGATCTATATGAGGGCGAGAAGCGGGAGCAGAAATAAAGAAGGCGTTAATTTGTCGTTTATTACTGGGAATTATTACGTCAAAAACACTTATCTAGCAAAGTTTTGAACTTTTTATTTAACATCCACCAATGCTTAAAAGAAAATTTTGGAAGCAGGAAAACGTAAATTTGTACTCGGGCTGGAAAAACAGCATTACTTCCGGTGAATTTGGAAATCTTTAAATATTTTTTTGCAAACTTCACAAATGATCCAACGAGTTACCTGATAAATTAAAAAATTGGAAATCCCTTCAATTCGATTAAGTCATAGGTCATGAGAGAGCATGACACACGACACATGTCCACTTATACTTCAGAGTCTGGTAAGCTGTAGCTGTCGAAAATCTCCAGCAAAGAAAGCGAATCGGCCTCAGAATTTTTCAATGTGGCAACGAAAAATCCCTTCATGAAAGACCTTAAAGGGAGCTCGCTCCGTACGACTGCGCTTCCAAAACTGCTGAAGATTTTGCCTCATGGTGCAAACCTGTTTCAAAGGAATATCGCTTCGCACTGGGGAGTGAGGGGTGGTTCACTTTTCAACGCAATTTTTTAATTTAGACGAGGCTAAACCCGGGTTTCTGATCCTCTTGATTAACCTGAAGACAGTAAAGGGTGGAGACAATGAAGGGTGGGAGTCGGGAGGCAGGAGAACGTGGTATGGGGAAGTGGAAGACTTTGACCCCCAAGTTCCTCTTCCCCCCCCCCCCCCCCACAAGAAAGAAAAAATTAAAATTTAGGTTTTGAATACATCAAGGTTCCTCAGAACCTGTTGGACCCTGGGCACTCTCAATAAAGGTAACAAAAGTATGGAGAACAGACTATAAAAAAAACTGAATGCTGCATTTTGATTGGTTATTGATAATGATCTCTTGATCAATTAGGAGGCAGACACATAGATGACCTCACCATTAACAGTAGTTTGCTTTTTATCATTTAAAACAAATAGATTATATGTTGCCATGGGTCTACACAGCAATAAGACCGCAGTAGACATCAAAATATGGTATAAACATTGGTGACACACTTGGCTCTACCTTATGTGCCACTTATTTCCTTCTTACTACATTTTGATGTCTTCTGATCTATCACTGAACTGACACATGACAACATGGAATCTATTTGTTAATTGTTTTGTGATCCCCTACAACTCCTTTTTAGCTCAAAAAAATTCTGCTTATGTCTAATCACAATATAATTAACCTCTTACAAAGCATAATTCATGACAATTCTAAAACAGAAGAATAAGCCAGCCTAGGTTATGGACAATAAAGGATGCTACACCAGCCTGGTGATATTGCATACCCAGACATTTCACAGCCAAATTGTTTTCAGGATCTGGGTATGAGATAATGCCTTGTCCAGACTGGTCCAATATCAATTTAACCAATTCACCTTTAATGTAGCATTTGGTATCACTGAAAAACCCCTGTTCTTTGGGATTAATATCACAAAACCTCCTTTACTCCCTGAGCCCTTGACTCCTGTGGGCAACTAAGTTGTTAAAAAATGTCTTCAATCTGTGTTCCCTTTAAATGTCATGTGAATTTTAACATTACTTTTGGAATGAGAATCCAGCATTAACTAAACAGTTCACATAACAGGATCTGAATATATTTACACCAAAATCAGAAATACCAAATCCAAGAAGTGCTCAAGTGTACAAGGAAATACATTGAACAGTTCCAGCTTACTGACAGGCAAAGAAGCTGACAGTTTGATCAGGAGTTTTGTTTTGTATAGAACCATGTGAAGGAAGTGCATGTATAATCTTGGACAGCATGCATTTAACCATCCTAAACACAATTTTTTGTTGTGAGTTATGAGTTACAAACTTATTGCACTTACTGAAACATCCATAAGAACTTATTTTCTGCTGAAATTTGAAAAACACCTGAATCGCCTCTTATACCCTATAACTAAGAAAATATTTGGACCACCTTGTAGAAAATCATGTCACACATTATCAATTATTACTACATTATTAAAGGGATGCAAGGAAATGATCATTGTACAAAATGTGGTGATTGATATTTTAACCCTCTCGCTCCCAAGATCTCAGTAGTAATTCTCATTACTTCCCATACAATTCTTTGGATGTTACAATCTGGAATTGGATCAACTTATTAGTTATTAGTTGATATTTTTCTTTATTCCCAAGGCATTTCCTTGCATTCCTTTAATAATTCCCAAAAGTGATCAACATGAAACTTCTCCCTATAGTATCATCACATTATCCAGCAAATAAGTGATGAGAATATTCAAACTTATGAGGTAGAAGTTGTTATCTTAATCTAACACCAAATTGTCATTACTAATTTACAAGGAAATGCACTGCAGCTTAATGGGAATTAACAATTTGATCTTGGAAGTTAAAGGGTTAATATGCTGGACTGTAGAACCTATAAACAAACTAAAAGCACAAGGACAAGAAAAAAAAATGAAGCAATTGGCATTGTAACAGAAAAGATCTGGTACAAACAAGTGAAGACTAGAAGAACCTTAAAATTTGATTATTACTTTCTAATGAGACCACAGTAAGTATAAAAACTGTGCCTAAAATAGCCACTTTTCTGCTTTTCAATGAACAGCCATCAGCAATCATTACAACTGACATCTAGATGGGCTATGCATGCGCGTCAAACCTGCCTCTAAAAAAGAACAAACCTTCAGCATTGCAATTCCCCTTTGTCACTGTCGGATCTAAGGTAAATACCTTCAGATCAAGAATCTGGTATCCCTCTTCCGCAAAAGTTTCCTCAATAATACTCTTACTCAGAGGAAAGCAATAAAATTTTTCATTACCAACCATGTAAAAACTCTCGCCCAGAACTCCAAGCATGACAAAATATCCACCAGCTTTCAAGTACCTTGACAGCTTGGCGATCGCGTGACGATAGTCTTCTGTAGATGTCACGGAAGCTTCTAGACACAGATTTGTTGTGATCACATCAAACGATCGAATCTGTGTGGACCACGAAGATGGCCATTTTACCGGGTCCTCCCATCCAATATCACACGATAGAATATGGGTCACTTTCTTCCTCAGTGCTTCTTGTCGAATTGACACTTCTTCGCTTGCCTTTCCTTCCAAGTTCTGGACGACAAAGTTGAAATACGATGACCAATCATGAGAATCAGGTGATTTCTGCAGCCATTCCTCTACTTCTCGCCGATTTCTTTCGCTGTACTCGGCAAAAATTATCTCTTTCGAGTAGGGTTCGGCGCTGATTAGAGCAGAAATGTTTGGTCCTCCACCAAATTCTAACACACGAAGATTTCCCTCGGGCATTTTGGACCAAGCCTCGTGGAAATTACGCATGGCAAATTGAGAGTGAGAGGGAGTTTCTTCGGAAATTCCAGTGAAATAAGAATTCAAGTAGGTTTTGGTGTCGAAATAATTGTAGTAGTCTTTTCCAAATCTTACCTCTGTTGTACTTTGGGTACCTTCTGTTATGTTTGTGTGGACAGCCTCACACATTTTGGGCGCCGTTGCTCTGCTCACACTTCAGTTGAAACTTGACAATTAAGGACTGGGACTGAATAGACTATTTTGCATATTTCATTGGAAGGTGTTCACAAAAAATTCTGATTTCGTTTTTAAAAAACTATTCTTTACTAAGAAAATTACTTTCATATTGTCAATATCGATTTTTTACCGTGTAGAATGTTTTTTTTTAACGTATAAATTGATTTTTATCATGTAAACTGTGATCTTATACAAGGATTTACAGCCCTGAAAAAAGCCGTAACAACACACGCGAAAAAATACGATAACTTTTCTCGTGTGGTTGATGTTGCCAATCAGCTACTGACACATTACTCACCTTACGCGCCACTCACTCAAGTTGATGAATGAATGGCAAAACCGTCACCAGTCTTAATCCAAGGTCGTTTGTCACAATTTTCTCACATCGCTCATAGAAAGTGACGTTCGAAAGAGAGATGACCAAAATAAAAAGAGAAAAACCGAAAGTTAAGTACTCAGTGTCTTGGATAATGACATTTCTCGCGGCTAAGAGAGAAAATCGAAAACTGGAAGATTTGCCACAAGCTGATTTTGGCCGTGTAACAGTTGAGATTTTATGTCTGCGAGGAAACAGTCAATAACTGAGAATTTTGTAGCTGGAATCTACGCCCATTCTTGTTTTTGTAATGATTCCATGCATTTCTTTCATCTTGAGCCTTATAGTCGACGCACTCTACGCCTTTTTTTTCCGAAGATTGTAGATCCTATATATATCTTTTTCCTTCATTAATGAGGCTCTGTTAGGGTAAATTCCGATGAGCGACACGGCTCTGAAACGATGTCAAGGAGCTGAAATGACGACGGACAACGAGCCGCTCACGCGAAATTACGACAGCTGTCTACTCTGTGACCTGTGTCGTCTGAAATTCCGACAAGCGACTTAGATTGTAGATCCTATATATACCTTTTTCCTTCATTAATGAGGCTCTGTTAGGGTAAATTCCGATGAGCGACACGGCTCTGAAACGATGTCAAGGAGCTGAAATGACGACGAACAACGGGCCGCTCACGCGAAATAACGACGGCAGTCTACTGTGTGACCGTCTGACTCTCTTCTGTCATCTCATCTTTCATATTTGGGTCTTTTCTCTCGGCAATCCCCATACATGCCCAATACACAACAATGGATTTCGATGAAAATTGTGGTTTTCAAAATATTGTATTCGTGACACCCTCTTATGGAAGTAAAATAACCGGAAGTCAGATGAACATCAGGGAGGGCAAAAATGTTGTCCGATGGACTCCTACGGATGGAATCCGATGGGGTCCATCGGAATCCAATTGAGTTCATCCGACTCCATCGGAATTACCGGAAGTCTAGCGGTAAACCGTTGCTTAGACAAGTGCATCATATGTGAAATAGCCTCGTCCTTAAAGCCATGAAGCGAAACAGCTCATTTCAGACGCGGGTGACTTGAAATATACTTCGTTTTATACCTCGTTACAGACACAAAGCTATTGGTGGCCGAGGAGGGACTAAGTAGATGGGTTCAATTACATGCAAAAGTTGTTATTGTGTTTGCAACCATTCCTCAGTAGTTTTAGCAATTATTCATTAACAATCTGTACTTGGCAAAAGCAATGAATCTACAATGTCATGGGGTGAATGAACATTTAAATGGTTTACTACAATATAATTTACCTTTAGCGGAGCATAACTTATGATAATCCTGTTATAGAATAAACTCAGCCCAGATTTTTGACAATAAAGGATGCTACTTCGTGCCTAGCCCACCACCATAGTCTACTGTTACTATATCAACCTATTCACCTTAGTATCATTACACAACATGTTCGCGTAGGGCTTGAAATCATGGGACTATAGCTGAAGAAGGGATTGATGTCAGGGGTGGGGAGCCTGGAATGGTATGGCCCATTTTATCAAAGAGAGTGAAAACTTTCACTGCTAATGATAGTAAAGAATACTGAAATGCCTCCAATACTGAACTATTAATAGACAACCTTGTAGAAAATTATGCCACCAGCCCCTAAGACAAAAGGCAAAGCGTGAACTTCTCCAGGAGGAAAATGAAGGATGAGGTGATTGGAAACTGTATCCCTTTGATAACGCGAAAAGTTTTGTTCTAGAAGTGGGACTGGGACTAAATTGATTTGACTAAATTGTTCTGTTATAGCTAGCGGTTGAGATCTTTTAAAAGAGGTAAATTACTCTTTTTTCAGTTCTTGTCCAAGATGATCATGCAGTAAGGGTTTCTCCCTCCACTACAGAGAGATTGTCCTCAAAATTTCACATTTGCCTCGGAAGCTTCGCTTCTCGACCACATATTAATTTTTCGGACAATATCTTAGCCGCGGACATTATCAGGCGACATACCTGCCGCCCAAACGAGTCTATTACTAAATATTTAACAGGCACACAAGGGAGAGACGCGAACGGGACACTCGCACCCACGTGAGGCTCCCACAAAGAGAATGAGCACTTGCAATTATACAAACCTAAACAAACTAAAGGTTAATCTAATAATGGCAATATGGACAATCCCCTGAGATAAACCAAGAACATACCAGGTCTCCATCAAAAAATGACATTAAATACGGATAGTATTGACAAGGAATGAGAATATGCCTGCTTTTACGGCAGTTCATGCTAAAACTACTAGTCAGTCAGGATTAATCCAATGCTTTGATGACGTCATGCGTGATACCATGCATTTGTTATCCCGCGATAGAAACCATCCTATCCCTTGGTTTTAACTTTCATCTCAGTGCGTCTTAGAGAGTAATAATAGCCCCTGAAAGCGTACCAGTTGACTCCGTTAGCATAAGTGGTTTGTCGACCATTGAGATATAATCCGTTTAAATTGGACCTATGGCATCGGTCGTACCACCAGGCTCCTTTGTACAGTTGGGCGCAGTGGTGACTATATATGTCATTGTCTTGATCTTTCGTAGAAAAATTCATATGGCTGGAATGATGAAGATTAAAACTCAAATATTGCCGTAATTCATTCAAAGTAAAAAATTTTGGGAATTAGTTCTGTTAAAAATTATAAAAACTAATCAATTTATGGAAGAATTTCTTGATAAATAGCATGGTCGGCACGGACACCATACGAAAAAAGGGACAAAAAGATACAATAAAATTGAATACAATACAATACAATAGACAGTTTTTCCTTACTTGTGTCGTCCTGTCATAGAGTCACCAGCCGTGCCGTTGTATCCGCCAATCAAAAGCTGATACTTATCAGCTTCGCCTGCCACCTTAAAAGTCTTGTACTCAGCGTAGGTGATGTTGCCGTCAAAGTCTTCCAGGTCAACTCTCATCATCACGTTATCAACTGCTGTTAAAAGGTGAAGATTGTCGTTTCCAAGCCAGAACTCACCGTTTAGATTTCCAAACCCATTTTTGTAGGATTCCCATCCAAGATAAAAGTCAACAGAGCCGTCTAAACGTCTTTGAAATACGGTCCAACCTCCGCCATCCGTGGTCATATCACATAACACTTGTATCGGTTTGCCGCCATCTGGATTGATGGTGTACAGGCCACTGACATTAAAACCATCTTGAAACAATTGAGAGCAGCTCTTCCCCTCTGTTGCGAAGAAAAAAAGTGATTCAGTCCAAAGTTGTTTTTGTAGAATAATTAAGCTTTGATTGACTCAAACAATAAACTTTCTAAATCCTTGACTTACTGCAAGGTTTTCCAGTATAGCCATCGTCACATTTGCATCGTGCGCTTCCATCTACATAATTGGGAATGCAGATTCCATTTTTGCCACATTGAAACCTGTCCTCCTCGCAAGCGCTCTGTGAAAAAAATAACTCCTCAAAAACCTTTACCCTTCTAAGTTTATCAAGATCTTTCGAATAAAAGTGTTTCTGGGAGATCCTTGGTTTATTTAAAGGCACCTTGAGAAAAAAATCATTTTAAAATTCTTTTAATTATACCTGTTTACTTGCTTGTAAGAGGTGCGATAATTTATATCATGTTTTACTACGTGATTTAGCTTTGGGTTTTCATTATATAATCCTTCACAAGCCAGATACTTATAACAAGGTGCAACAGGAAACGCATCATTTTTGGATCAGGAAACTCGAGAAAGTTCATGAGGAATGCCTATATATATATGCACGAAAAAATAGCAAGGTTGGATATTGAACGCATAATACAAGTCGAATATAAGCCTGAATTGTTCTCTCTTCATACCCTTTTAGCAAATTTTCATCGCAAAAACGACCCCTCAAAGGTAATAGTAAAATTTTATTAAGTTTAGGCTGCTTTTGTTCGTGGTGTCTCTTTACTGTGAAGGTCCACCACAGTTTGAAATGCAATGTTTCATATACTGAGCTGGTGACAAGTCATTTTCAATGCACTGAGATAGATTTCGCTTACCATTAGTCCTCTATAAATAAAATCTTTGTCTTCAGTTAAGTTGGCAAATCCAAAAAATCGATCAGAGTCGCTCAGTTGACACTTGAATTTCCCTGAGTCGCCCTTTATGGTTCTAAAGTTGTATGACTGACATCGCTCTGCCTCCACACACTCAAACTGACAAGAAGTTTCCGAATCAACTTCCATTTCACTTATCAGGCTCTTGTTCAGCTTTCGTCCTGCTATGTTGTCCAAGTTCCTCCCCCCCCCCCCCCATAAGAAAGAAAAAAGTAAAATTTAGGTTTTGAATACATCAAGGTTCCTCAGAACCTGTTGGACCCTGGGCACTCTCAATAAAGGTAACAAAAGTATGGAGAACTTTTTTATGTTTTAAGTAACAGACTATAAAAAAAACTGAATGCTGCATTTTGATTGGTTATTGATAATGATCTCTTGATCAATTAGGAGGCAGACACATAGATGACCTCACCATTAACAGTAGTTTGCTTTTATCATTTAAAACATATAGATTATATGTTGCCATGGGTCTACACAGCAATAAGACCGCAGTAGACATCAAAATATGGTATAAACATTGGTGACACACTTGGCTCTACCTTATGTGCCACTTATTTCATTCTTACTACATTTTGATGTCTTCTGATCTATCACCGAACTGACAGAGGGCAACATGGAATCTATTTGTTAATTGTTTTGTGATACCCTACAACTCCTTTTTAGCTCAAAAAAATTCTGCTTATGTCTAAATTATCACAATATAATTAACCTCTTACAAAGCATAATTCATGACAATTCTAAAACAGATGAATAAGCCAGCCTAGGTTATGGACAATAAAGGATGCTACACCAGCCTGGTGATATTGCATACCCAGACCTTTTACAGCCAAGTTGTTTTCAGGATCTGGGTATGAGATAATGCCTTGTCCAGACTGGTCCAATATCAATTTAACCAATTCACCTTTAATGTAGCATTTGGTATCACTGAAAAACCCCTGTTCTTTGGGATTAATATCACAAAACCTCCTTTACTCTCTCAGCCCTTGACTTCTGTGGGCAACTAAGTTGTTAAAAAATGTTTTCAATATGTGTTCCCTTTAGATGTCAAGTGAATTTTAACATTACTTTTGGAATGAGAATCCAGCATTAACTAAACAGTTCACATAACAGGATCTGAATATATTTATACCAAAATCAGAAATACCAAATCCAAGAAGTGCTCAAGAGTACAAGGAAATACATTGAACAGTTCCAGCTTACTGACAAGCAAAGAAGCTGACAGTTTGATCAGGAGTTTTGTTTTGTATAGAACCATGTGAAGGAAGTGCATGCATGATCTTGGACAGCATGCATTTAACCATCCTAAACACAATTTTTTGCTGTGAGTTATGAGTTACAAACTTACTGGACTTACTGAAACATCCATAGGAACTTATTTTCCACTGATATTTGAAAAACACCTGAATTGCCTCTTATACCCTATAACTAATAAAATATTTGGACCACCTTGTAGAAAATCATGTCACACAGAGTACTAGTCCAGATCCCCTTTAGAAATAGAGGGTATATTAATTGTGGTGTATTTTGTAAAGCTATCTGACCATCTACAACCCATTCAAGTAATCCACAACAAATTTAAAACCATGTCCAGCCTGTTTATTTAGTACAAATTAATTAGATAGTTAATACAATTTTATTAAGACAAAGTACTGAGAATGTTTGAAGGCATGAAAGGGATTTACATCAGGAACATTCTACATCAGCAAGGATGCATGAACAATGGAGATCTTGGAACACTTACCCTGATTTACCAAAAAATGATGATATTCCCCACTTTTTCTTCAAATTAATGCATGGTAATCAAACTATTCTAGACAGTGTATATTGAGCCAGCACAATGTTTTTTCCTAGTCAAGGGAAAATATTGTTTATGGTCAAATAATTACACCTTGCCTAAATCATAATTATCATTTTTTATCCTATGAATCGTTCTTTATCAAAAATTCACTACTTTTACTGACAGTAATTTAATAACTAAAATGGATGATTTTCAGACAGCGGAGGTTAAAATTCATGGGATACTTAACATGAGTTTATTGAAGTTGATCTAATTTTCTCCCCTCCCTCTCTCCCACATGATGTTAAAATTGTGCATTCTATCAACCTACCAAGATGTTGTGATTGTTTCATTTCATCAACATTGTTAGAAGGGGGAGGGGAGATTCTTTGTGCAAACCTGATTGGCAAAAAGTGTTTTTCTCTGAAATATGTTTGGATAAGGATATGTTTTCAATAACTTTTCTAATGAATTTTGACCCCTATTGAAGATTGAAAGCTTCAAAGAAAACAAACTTCAAAGATACATTTGCAATAACTACCCCATGGAGTTTTGACCCCTGTTAAAATTGAGAGCTTCAAAGAAAACAAACCTCAAAGGCATGTTTTCAATAACTGTTCCCGGAAGTTTAACCTCTACTGAAGATTGAGTGCTTCAAAGAAAACAAACCTCAAAGATATGCAAATGATGAATTCCATGTTGTTTATCGTGTTAAGAAAAATTCTTACATGTCCATATTGCAAGTACCTGAATCTGAAGAATATATGATTGACTAAAAAAGTAAAATGCAGTCCTTTTCTTAAAGTGCTATGTACTGTATTTACCCGTGTATAAGTAGACCTTTTACTGCCTAAAAATTGGTCCAAAAAATCGCCCTCGACTTATACATGGGTCAAAATCTGAGATAAAAAACTTTCAGGACAAATTAGCATAATAATTGTCTGATATGTAAACAAACAATCCACTTTTACACGGTACAAGTTGCGATGTCTTTTCCCTGCACAACTCGAGCAGTCTAAGTTTAAAAGCTTTAAGATTCAATAAAGAACTGATAGTAGCAGCCAAGTCCGCTCGACAAAAGCCACATTTCTCGCAAAGTTTTGCTGCTTAGTAACCTGGCTTTGTATCGTGCGAGCACGAGGACTTTGTTTAGCACGTGTTCCAATAAAATGCTAGTTGGTAGGGTTTTTGTTTTGGTTGTTGCGCGCCTTTACACAACGATAAAGGTTCGTTAGAAAGTAGTATGTTTGATTTTGTAGGCTAATTTCAAAAATTGTAAAGAAAATGCTGCTTACACGTGTCGCTAAAACACGCTAAAACGCTCGCGTACACGCAATAATAAACTTCACGTCCAAACTTGCTGGGATTTTTTCCATATAACCATAGTACCTGAAAGAAAATTCTAGGAAATATAAGATTAGTTTTTCAAGAAAATTCTTGCCCAGAAATAAGAAAAACTTATTTTTGGGGGTCGACTTATACACGGGTTCGACTTATACACGGGTTCGACTTATACATGGGTAAATACGGTATGTTCCATGTTATTTTTACCTTTCATATCTTTGTCAGTACATCACTCTACATTAGATACCTGTAGAGTACTCTTAATAATCACATCAACCTTTTAACTCCCTTGAGTAACCAAACAGACAAGTGATGGGAATAAAGAGAAAGATCAACTGGGAGATAATAAGTTGATCCAATTCCAGATTGTAACATCCAAAGAATTGTATGGGAAGTAATGAGAATTACTTCTGAGATCTTGGGAGTGAAAAGGTTAAAATATCAATCACCACACTTTGTACAATTATCATTTCCTTGCATCCTTTTAACCCTTTAACTCCCAGAAGTGATCAACATGAAACTTCTCCCTATAGTATCCTTACATTATCCAGCAAATAAGTGATGAGAATATTCAAACTTATGAGGTAGAAGTTGTTATCTTGATCTAACACCAAATTCTCATTACTAATTTACAAGGAAATGTGTGGCAGCTTGAGGGGAATTAACAATTTGATCTTGGAAGTTGAAGGGTTAATATACTGGACTGGAGAACTTATAAACAAACTAGAAGCACAAGGACAAGATAAAAAAAATGGAGCAATGGGCATTGTAACAGAAAAGATCTGGTACAAACAAGTGAAGACTAAAAGAACCTCATATTTGATTATTACTTTCTGACGAGACCACTGTAAGTATAAAAACTGTGCCTAAGTTACTAATTTTTTGAGCGCTAGCCACTTCTCTGCCTGTCAATGAATAGCCATCAGCAATCATTACAACTGACATCTAGATGGGCTATGCATGCTCGTCAAACCTGCCTCTGAAAAGGAACCAACCTTGGGCATCGTAATTCCCCTTTGACACTGTTGAATCTACGGTAAGTACCTTCAGATCAAGAATCTGGTATCCCTCTTCTGCAAAAGTTTCTTCAATAATGCTCTTACTCAGAGGAAAGCAATAAAATTTTTCATTACCAACCATGTAAAAACTCTCGCCCAGAACTCCATGCATGACAAAATATCCACCAGCTTTCAAGTACCTTGACAGCTTGGCGATCGCGTGGCGATAGTCTTCTATAGAAGTCACGGAAACTTCTAGACACAGATTTGTTGTGATCACATCAAACGATCGAATCTGTGAGGACCACGAAGATGGCCATTTTACCGGGTCCTCCCATCCAATATCACACGGTAAAATATGGGTAATTTTCTCCCTCAGTGCATCTTGTCGAAATGACACGTCTTCGCTTGTCTTTCCTTCCAAGTTCTGAACGACAAAGTTGAAATACGATGACCAATCATGAGAATCAGGTGATTTCTGCAGCCATCCCTCCACTTCTCGCCGAT